GGAAGGAAGGAAGGAAGGAAGGAAGGAAGGAGGGAAGGAAGGAAGGAAGGAAGGAGGGAAGGAAGGAAGGAAGGAAAAAGAAGTGAGAGGGAGGGAGGAAGGGAGGAAGGGAGGGAGATAGACAGACATACATGGATAAAATGCATGCGTATTGCTTCCTCGTATATCTGACATCGTGTTTCTAACCTGTTGACAATTTCAAGAGCTCTATTAATGTGGAACGTGCCAGGCCTATTAACAATCATGGTCTCAGCTGGTAGTGTGCCATTTTCCAATGTGCCTGTACAGATGAACGTAACAAGATAAGTTGCTTTATTTCTTTTATGACTGCCAATGTTCTCAACATGCAGCTTCAGCCAGCAAGCACCTGCATGAACCCTGAAATATTTTGACATAATTATGTTGACCAAGGGTCTCTACATAGAGATTCTAAACTGCCATTTACAGAAAAGTGTCTCTCGCTTTATTATTAGGTAATGAAAAAGGGCTTTTGGAGGTTAAGGTATAAGGGGAACTACTGTTTTATCCTGTGTGTCCTTGTTTATACCTAGTGTGTGTCTCCCGCTGTTCTAACACAGCAATGGGGGTCATTCTGCTGCTAGCATTTCTGAAAGAGGAGGCTAAAATATGTTGATGTCTTGCCTAAATTGCAAAATCTGTTCCCTTAACTCAGACTTTCCCCTCCAGCTATTAATTTTCTCCCTTTTATTCCCTATATTATCAGATTTTGAATATGAAAAATGTTTTTGATTTTAAACACATTCAGTGGATATTCAATAAAAATACAAATTTTTATAGGATGACAAAGAGATGCTTGAAAATAATGGAGGAACAGTTGGCTTTTTCTTCATTATTTTAATTTATTTATTCAGTTATTTATTCCCATCATCTTTTAACAGGCATTTATCTAGTGCATGCTATTATGTCAAGCCCTGTAATTAAAGAACTAGTGGTCTAGTTGGGAGAAAGAGGAGCAGATACACAAATACATAATTAAAATATGCCAAGATCATTATTGTAATAGATTTTCTATAGAGTGCGGTGAAAATACAGGAAAGAAATTGCCTTTCTCTGCTTGGGAAACCATGGAAGGAGGTGCTATTTGAGCTGGGTCTTGGAGACAAGAAGGAAATTAAAAGGTAGAAAAAAGAGAAGGAGCATTCTAAGCAGAGTAAATGGCATGAAATATCATTAAACACGACATGTCCAAGGAATGGCCCAAAAGGGCAGATGTAAGGTATATGGGTGCAGGAAAGAAAAGCCAACAGATGAGGTTCCAGAGAGTGAATTGACAAATGTTTGATAGCTTTCAGATTCTGACCATGTACTAATCCTTTATAGAAAGAAACAGAAGTCATATGGTAATTGTCTTTCTCCATCTCACTTATTTAACTTAGCATAATAACCTCAAGTTCCATCCATCTTGTTGTTGCAAATGGTGCGATTTCATCTTTGTTTATGGCTGAATAGTATTCCATTGTATATATATACTACATCTTCTTTATCTATTCATCCATTGATGGGCACTTAGGTTGATTCCAAATCTTGGCTATTGTGAATAATAGTGCAATGAACATAAGGGTGCATATACATTTTTGAATTAGTATTTTCATGTTCTTTGGATAAACACCCAGAAGTGGAATAGTTGGATCACATGGTATTTCTATTTTTAATTTTTTGAGAAATCTCCATACTGTTTTCCATAGTGGCTATACCAATTTACATTCATGTATGACTTCACTCATATGTGGCAGATAACTAAACAAACACACACTTAGATATGGAGAACAGATTGGTGGTTACGAGTGGGGAAGGGGATAAGGGGAGGATGAAAGGGGTAAAGGAGCACATATGTATAGTGATGGACAGAAACTAGACTTTTGGTGATGAACACGATGCAGTCTATACAGAAGTCAAAATATAATGATAAACACCTGAAATTTATGTAACGTTGTAAACCAATGTGACTTCAATTTAAAAAAAAAAAGTCTAAATCATCCAAAGTAAATCTTTCATTTACTTTGCATGGTTCAAGAAATTTTTCTGATTTCTTTCTTTAGCTTTTCAAGAAGAGGTTTTCCAGAATGTGGAAGTTTGGCAATCTCATTTTCTGGAGGTACAACTCTTTTAGGCCATTGAGGTGATCTTGCTATTCTGGGCATAACGACTCCTGGATGCCTTCTAAAGCTATGTGTCTGTTGCCTACAGAACAGTAGAAGTTTTCAGAGCAATGGATATGGATGGGCTTCAAAGTACAATTAACATAATGATTGACAGATCAATCATTAAGCAGGATGATGCACTGAAAGTTAAAAATACATCACAAAGTATTTTTTAAAAAGTGAAAGGATAAAAAAAGGAAATGAAAGATGATCTTTTCAAATAGATTGAAAGAGATTTACAACACACACACACAACACACACACACACACACACACACGTACTCATGTATGCACATGTGATCATATCTTAAAATTCCAGTCTATCCATACTCCAACAAGAAAACGAGGTATCTCAGTAACTAACTCATGGATTCTCTTCTAGTGGAGTGATTTGGTGACACTGTGGCAATAAGAGAATTTATATCAGTTAATGTAACAATGAAATAATTTGTTTCTCCAAAGACATATAATTTCAAGTATATTTTATGATAGCCTAATTGTTCGGAAAGTAACAATGTATATTTTGATATGATATTTTGATATGATATTTTGATATGAATGTATATGCATGTACATATTTGTGAGGGATTGTTGCTTTTCACACCTGTGGAGCTTTGCAATCAATGAAGCAAGTGCAGAGGATTTGTGAAGAACCTGTGTGTGGTCAATCATTTTCAAGCACATGGCATGAAGGGAGAGGAGAATAGCCGAGAGTGAGAAGGGAAGCATCGTAATTTCAGCCATCTTGGGGTTCACTTCTTAAAGCTGATCAGCTACTCTTAGATCCCGATCATCTTAGCCTCACGTGACCTGGATCTTCCCTAACCTGCGAGAGTGCAAAAAAAACACTGACTGCTCAATTATCAAAGATCTCAAATCCCATTCTTTTTTTTTCTGGGTAAGTGTCCTCTGGTTGGTAGAACATAGAAGTGTAGTATAATATAAGTATAGTATAGTATAGTAATTACTATAGGAAAGTGTAAATAAAGTGTCTCCTAATTTAGCCCAGTATGGAACTATAGACGTTTTCTAAACTTTTTCAGGAAAGATGGCATGGTGAAGTTCGCTTAAGAAAAGAGCATAAACTCGAGGCTAGTAGGCTATAAGGACTTTCTTTCTCTATCACCTGTCTATGTAAAGATGCTGGGAACTTTTCTTCCTCAGAAGACTCTCCTTTGACTCTCAGTGATAAATGGTTATGGAAGGCAAAAGGGCAAGAAAATAAATAAATCAAGGACACCAGAGACTTATCTTCCCACTTTCTATAGGAAATACACCCACATATTTTAATACAAAATAAAGAGTCTTCAGAAAGATCACTGCTGACAAGACTTCTTTTAAAATTACTTAGGGGGGAGCCATAGCTTTGTCATCAAACCCAAGACCATATCCATCTTAAACCTTAAAAACTCTCATTCATTCTTCTACTTTTTTCACTTGTTTACAGCTCCTATCACCTGACTTATCTAATAAGAGCATGATTTACCTTAGGAAACTCTATATTATTTTTCTTCTTAAAGCAATTAAGCAAATCAATTTTACTCTTTCTTTGCCATCAAAATGCCTTTTCAGGAGACTCTCTACCCTTCCCTCCTTATTCAGGCTTGATGAATATTAGAAACCAGTGAAAATTTATTTCAATTCAGTGAGTGGTTTCTGAACATCTGTGCACATGGCTATTGGTTTTAAATAGGCAATCACGAGAATTATAAGGGAGACAGTGGCCTTCAAGGAGTAAACAGTTTTGGCAAGTGTACAGTTTGGCATAACAGAGGCATAAAGAAGAGTTCCATGCACAAGACACTCTAAGCCAGAGGCTGCCAACTGGCTGCTTTGGCCTTTGCAGCGTTGGCCCTCACAGTATTTTTGTTTTTAAGTTGCTAAATGAGTTGTTAACATTAAAAAGATTATCTTCCTCACAAAAAAACAAAACAAAACAAAACAAACAAAGAACAAAGAGGCAATAAAATACAAGAGTGGAAAATATGAGCTGTCACTTGCACTGCTCTATGGGAGAAAGAGAAAGATAGAGTTTGAATTGCTGTGTGGGGTCTGGAGACTAGGCCTTGTACCATATATTAATAATAGTGGACCTGAGACATTTGCATTAAACCAGGCCATCAAAGAGATGGATAAGAATAAATCCACCCATTGGCCAGAAGTTTGTCTATCTTAACCTGTGCTCCAGGGATACAGAGAAGTGGGAGAGGAAGAGAGAGGGAGATTCTCCTGCTAACATAGGGCCTGCTCTTGGTTAACTTCCAAGCTAAGTAATTATTACAAAAAGTGGTCCCAGTGGTTATTAGCTCTGTTGGAAACAAATGGAGAACCTACAATCAGAGTGTTTAAAGGATCTCCGTAGATAAAAAGCAATGAAAGATAAACTCACAATCTAAAAATATAAATCGTAGTAAGAGAGAATGTCTTTAGACCCATGAGCGAGCAAGGCCAGAGCTTTGAGAACTTTACCTACCAGAAGTTTTCGAAGAGAGATTGGAAAAACACTATGTTTATAGAAGGATTAGATTATTCTAGAAGCCAATCATAAAATCACAGGCAAAATCACAGTGATCTCCCTTTTTTAATGATCACACCCCTTCATTTCTTTTAAGAGAGGGAAGTGTGGAGAGTAAATGATTTGTCCACAACCATAACATTTTTTAAATGCAAGAGCAAAAAGTAGAATTTAAATCTCTGACTTTAATACCACAGAGTTAGGACAGTCACATAAAGACATGTGGGATGGAAGAAAGAAGAAGAAAGAAAGGTGGAGTCAGGGTTATTTGACGATTCTTTGGTATAGCAGAAAAAGGAGAGTCAAGGATAAATAACCACAAAACACTGGGTAGAGGACTTAGGTTTTAGTGGCTCTGCTTATGGAAGAAGGGAAGTGATGTCAGAGAAAATGGCAGTGTTCACTTTTCTATCCATAGCATTCTTGGCTTTTATACATTTAACTGACATTTCCAAAGCAGTTATTATAGGCGAAACCTCCAGGTTGGCCAATGTGGTAGATATACAGATGATTGAGTGAGTCATGGTCTGCCATTTAAGAAATATGCAATTTAGTGAAGGGAGTAAATAGGACACACAAATAATGCAGAATTAAATAAAGAGACAGAGAATGTGCTGCAATACAGGCTGAGGATGCAGCTATCCAGACTTTTGTCCCAATAAAACATGGGGACTATGATGAAGAGGGACAGCTCTAACCCAGGTCACAGGCAAGACCATTGTTCAACTAAAGGTGATATGTGAGATCTGAATTTCTTAAATTAGACTTGCTCATCCTTCCCACTCTGAAATTACAGAAAAGGTGGGTTTTACCACCTTTTAGGAAAAGGCCCACATATTTAAAACAAACACATAATATCAACCCACCAGCTAACCTTAGGTTATGAATTACTGACATTCTGAAAAACTAGTAATTATTGCCACTTTAAAATTTTGTGTGTCTTATTTCTCCTAGAGGGGTGAATGATCCCTTCAGAAATGTGTTTCTTAGTTGAAACCTGTAATAATTTTGTTGATTTCCAACTCTTACCTATAGGTGCTTTGATGAGGACACGAATATTGGGAACAATGTTGTAAAATCACAATATGCCCCTCTGGGCAGGTTAATATGGACATTTGGGGATAATTACTTTTGAGATGTCAAATTTGACACATGGCTTCTAGAACAGTTAGTTGAGCACACACCCCCATTTATAGGAGACTACGAGCTTTATTATAGAAGAGAAATTCTTTGGGAAGGACATGTTCTAGGGGAGAAAAAACCAACAACCAAAAATTATTTGAAACTACTTGAGCCTATTTCTTCTAGGAACCCCAAAATAGAAGCTCAAATCTCGGGTGCTGGGTGAACAAGAAATAGATACATATAAAGATAGATATAGATATACACTATAGATATATATGAATTTTTTAATAAATAGTGAGGATGAAAATTGTCAAACTGAATTTAGAAGAAATCCTGTTTCCTAACCCAAATTTCAGAACTCTGTAGGTGGAGGTGTCAGGGCAGCAGGGAGCACTGGTCGGCTTTTATCCATGTTCAGGTCTCCCTCCAATTTATAAAATATTTGGTCAAGGTCTACAATACTCCTGACAAAGAAGAAGCTTCAGAGAAGCCTTTTGAAAAAGAATGCTTGGCTGTTAGGGTTTGGAAAATAAGAAGCCAGAGGTGAGGTTGACAGGTTGTATGGGGGAAACAGACAGACCTGACAGTTTATTTTTAAGCATTTCAAACTTTGGCGGATCAATTTTCTGAAAGGGTTTCCTTCTGATTGTTCTTTTGAAAGTAAGAACTGCCAGGGCTACAACAGAAAGTTGACACCTTTTCAGTTCAGCACTTAGAAAAAGCTCAGAGGGAAAAGAAAGACTTTCAATTCTTGTCCTTTCTATTTATTGTGGTGTTCAAAGCAGTGAATAGTGGAGTTGGTGTTGAAAAGCATTTTCTATTATATCTACTGCCAAGTCTCAATGAGTCTCAATGAGTAAGGAGAGTCAGGAAGTAAAACTTTTTCTAACTGGGAGAGTTTGAAGGTGCATTCTCACAGCAACCTGAGCTGGGATATCTGATGTAGGCCTAAACCTACAGGACAAGAAAAATAAAATTAAACTTTTAGTTTACTGCTATACCATAATGCTATCACTGCATATTATATTATTTTTCAGAACTGATTATGTATTTGCTATGTCCTATCTTTCAGGAATAAAATTAAGCCAGCCACTAGCCTGAATTCATTTACTTTTCCATGAGATTCACTTAGTATTTGATTTGGCCATTTATCATAAACCTTCATCATCGCTTATATTATATGATCGATTTTTAAGCATGTGTCCATGTTCTCCGCTAGATTGTAAGCCAATGAAAGGGCATTGAGTATTCTGTGTAGAGTGACCAGTGGTGCTTTGCAGGTAGTTATATACTCAACAAACGTTTAATGAATTGGACCTTTGAAACCTTCCTCATCTCTTTTTGTACTTCTTTTGTCCATTCGAATTGAGCACACATGTGGAGTATGATTCGAGAATAGGCATAGGGATTTTTACAAACTGAAGACAGGACAGAGTTTCAAACTTACTTAACCAAAACTTATTAAACAGAGGCTGTGCTAGGCTCTGAGGTTATAGAGATAAATGAGACAATCCATGCCCTTTAGGATTCTAGTGGATAGAAAGGACAGAAAAATAGATAATCCTATAGCCGTTTGGCTGGAGATCAGTAGAGAGGACTAAACATTGAAGAGATCTTTCCATGTCCAAGAAACACTAGACAAACTCATCATTAAGATGATGAAGCACGTGAGAGGGATAATTTGCTTTGGTCTGCAAGTCAACACTGAGAAGACAGCAGTGTGCAAAAGCATCTGTGGGTCCTGATAAATGACTCACTGCTGAAAGCTCTGGTTAATTTGTGTCACATTAGCAGCATCCTGTGTCTCAATATGACTCTTGGAAAGAATAACTCTATTACAATTTGGTTGGCAAAACTTATACTTCTCCTGGGCGAGGGACTAAGTATTTGTGGAAGGACTAAAGAATTAAAATAACTCATGCTGCTGCTTAAAGATACACCCAGAGTGATGAGAGCAGCACTTCTCAGCCTTGTTTGTACACTGGAATCACAAGGAGAACATTAAAAAATTTCCTGTCTGCATCCCAGGCCAATTAAATCAGAGTCTCTGGGGATTGGACTCGGGTTTTATAAACACCTGGGTGATTCCAATGTACATATAGCCAAGTTTGAGAACCAGTGGGTGAGCGCCATGCTTCTCCAACTATAATAGTCTACAAATCACCTGGGGGTCTTGTCGAAATGCAGATTCTGATTCTGTGAGTCTGGGTTGAGGCCTGAGATTCTGCGTCTCTAACAGGCTCCCAGGTGATGCCTATGCAAGAATTAGAAATCTTCTAATTTGCTAGCTTTCCAATCTCCACCCAAACTCTTGAAGGTAAGATGGTTGGAATGGTCCTATTGCTTTTATATAGCACCATTCTTCTTTTTTTTTAATTTCCCAAAGAACTGATCTACCTAACATGGGAGTTTTGAGGTTTAGCATTAGGAATTGAGAGGATCTATCATGGCCTATTTCAAATATTACAATCTAAGATATGTTTTTTGGGAACTGGGTGGAGTTGGAGGCCAAAATCCTTTCATGTAGAAGTGGGTGATTTAAATTAATGTGAGTTTTTGAGTTTATACAATCATTGTAAAAATGCCTCTCTTAATTAACTTCATTTTGGAACTTCACCTGACTCCCATATAGCTAAAACTGTCTCCTAAACCCCTATGTAATTTGAGATACAGAATTGTGAAGGGGTAACAATCGTGGTCTCTGGATTCAGGCTACTGGAATTCAAATCCTGCGTGAACAGCATTCTGGATAAGAATACCCAGCCTCATTTTCTTTACAATGGGGAAGACAATAAGAACTATTACATGTGATTGCTGTGCGGGTTGAATGAAGTGGCATTTACAGGCACTGAGAATAGAACGTGGCTGTCACCAACCAAAGACGAATCTACTACAGTCTCACTTTCATCAGAGAGACAGAACCTCAAAGGAAACATCCCAGCCTCTCACAGTACAGGCAGCCATTTTGAGAATTAAAAGATGTGGCCATTCTGTTAGTAAAGGTCATAGTTTCTTCATTTCCATGTATCCCCCCACGGCCAATATTTGCAGCTCATAACTTGACAGGGTTCATTCATATATTAAACACGTATTTCTGAAGCACCCACTACATGACAGTCACTGTTCTAGATGCTGGTGTTTAAGCAGTGAACAAAACAAATCAAAATTCCTGCCCCCATGTAGCTAACATTCTAGAATAGGTGTCTAACAATGAAAACACAAACGGTATAATATGTAGTATGCAGGGTGATGTTAATTGCTTGGAGAAAATTGAAGTAGGCGAGAAGGATACAAAGTGCCAGAGGAGGGGAGTGTTAGCAGCACTAATTAAGGTGGTCAGGGAAGCTCTGGAGGAGATGACCTTGGGTTCACCTAAAGGAGGCGAGCAGGAAAGCCTTGCAAAGACATGAGGAAAGAGCATTCCAGGAAGAGAGACTAGCAAAGGCAGGTGAGAGGGCTCCGAAAGCCACTATGCAAAAAGAAAGGTATTATGTAAACCAGGAACTAATGTGGCCACAGTTCAGGAATGAGGGGTTAAGTAACAGCAGATGGGTTAGAACAGAGGCTCTCAGGCCTGATCATTCATCAGAAGCACCTGGAGGGCTTGTAAAACTACAGACTGCTGGGCCGCATGCCAGAGTGTCTGCTTCATGAGGTC